TCCTGGCCCGCGGGCTCAGCCCTGCCCTGAGTGGCTCCTGCACTGTCATAGCAGAGCAATCCTGGTCCCTGCGTCCGGAAGCTGTGGGAGGCTGCTCGTCCTGTCTCCCATTGTGCCATCAGTGCAGATTTGCCTCCTGAGAAGTATAGATTTAACCTCTGCAACTGTGATGTTTCCTGTTTGATAAAAAGTCCCTTTGGAGCACAGCTAGTAAGGCATCTCGGGGCATCACTGTCTTTTGGATATAAGTACCTTTGTTTGGTCTTAGATTTTAAATTTATCCATCGTGGGTACGTCATGAAGTCCGTCATTTCTTCCTTCCCGATTTTTACTTAAGTTCAATTTGTACTTTGTCAGAACTGTTTAACGTGTTAACATCACAATGAGCAGTCCACGTTCACATGTGAAATTTTCTTGGTCATAGGTAACTGCGGTCTTATGTATTTGTTTATTCAGCAAATATTATGTGAGTGCCTGTTTTGTGCCACTGCTAGAGACAGCACGAGACCCCTTAAGACCCAGCCCTGCTTCTGCTCCCTCATTCTGTACACAAGGACTGTGATGTGGAGGGGTCCTGGCTCACAGGGAGAGTTGGGGTCCGGCCTGCGCCCTCGTCTCAGACCGTGCACCAAGCCTTCCATGCTGCAGACTGTAAAGTCCTGGCAGCCGCTGCCCCACGGTTCAGCAGAAAAGCTTCCCACCTCTGCGAAGGGCAGCAGTGATAAAACGCTAGGGCAGGTACCCGGAGTGCTGCAGACTGCCAGGGAGAGCTGCGCCCAGTGCTCCCCTGCACCCTCCCTGGTGTTGAGTGTGGCCGGCAGCGTCTGTGACTCATCTCCTAGAAGTCCACACTCTGCAGTCCCCCTGGGGTGCCTCCTCTTCACCATCATCCTCTCCTTGCTGACCACCCAGGCTCAAGAGGAGCGCAGACAACGTCGGGAAGGCAGCAGAGGTGACCCAGACACCTTGACCCTCCTCCCGCCCCACGCCTCGCACGCGCACCGTCCCCTGCTTCCGTCTGGCGGTTCCTTCCCACCCTGCAGAGGGGGGCTCGTCCTGCACCCCAAGACTCGATGGTACACAGGCGACTGCCTGGCACATCCCTCAGAGTACAGTTTACATTCTGTCCCAGGATTCTTGGGGAGAAAGCCTTAACCCTGGGAAATCACCTGCAGGTACTAAGTAGGACTAAAATTCTACAGTGATCTTCATATGTATGCTTTTACTGTCGAATACATGTATAATATGTAATTACCAGTAGGACTTCATAGTCCTATAAATTACATATTATCAGAAACAAGGGAAGTTATTAGCCAGAAAAACAAAAATCTACTACACATTCTTTAGGTGATTTTAGCTATTTAACACACATTTTAGGAAAACTGTAGGAGAGACATTTTAAGGAACAGTACGGATTCCATTTTAAAATGTACCATCTAACAAGATAGACTGTCACTGTTGTCCAGACTCACTGCTCTCTCAGCGATCAAACGGCCCACAGCACACGGACCTATAGGATCTGTCCTGAGAGTCCGAGGGGAACCTGTTTCCAGCCACAGAAGTGTAGCCATGGACAGGTCTTGGCGTGATGCTCTTTTTGAAAACAAAATCTTTATCACCAGAGGACCTTTTAAAGAAAGTGTTCGGTAGACGTAACAGGCATATATGACAATATCAAACAGGTGAAGGTGTTTTACAGAATCAATCACATCCTTGGCACACGCCCCACCCGGCTCACTTTTACGTCATTGCCCAAACTAAACCCAGTGTTAACCCAGAAACCCACACTAGGGAGTGGACAACAGCTGTGCGTGCCACCCGGGACCACTAGAAGCTGGAGACGCGAGGCCTGCAGGCAGTGGTGGGTGCCGTGAGCTGAGTGGCCCTGGTGTGGGACCCTGCCCAGCAGTGAAACCGCGGCAGCAAAATGCTCAGTGGATCTGAAATGCTTGTCAAGGGAAAGAAGCCAGACCTGGTGATGTATAGTTCTGTGTACCTGGCAGCAGGGAGGAAGTAAGGGAAGGGAAACCGTTCCTCCGTGCTGGGTGGTGCAGAGGCGGAGCTTGGCAGAGGGGTTCACAGGGAGTCTGCCCCTCCTACACACACAAACACACACACACCCGGCAGCACAAGCTGGCGTCTGTGTCCCCTGGATCCTCACGGCAGCAGCGCACAAGGGCGAATTTCCACGCACACAAATAGAAGTTTGAGAAAATCACCTGGGATGTTTGGAGATTACAAGGTGGGATGCAGACTGACAAATAAATTAGTCTTTCTTACAGATGTGTCACACGACCTCCCTGAACTTAATAGAAAAAAGAAATAGGCCTACATAGCTTCAGAAAGTATTGTTTCAGAAAGGAAAAGCAAGCAAAAGAACCATGTACAAGCGCTGTCCTTCAGCCTGTGTCTGGCTGGGAAGTGGTTTCCTTGGCAGTCCTGAAACTGCTACACATGTGTGGGTGCGTTTTGGGCAAGAGGGGCCCAGTTAATGACATAGGTGAGCTCCTGTGGTGTTACGCTGGACTGGAGCCAGCCCTATGGACACACGCGGGTAGATCCAGAAATACGTGTGTGCGCCTGGCAGTCCGTGTGTAAATGTGCTTCTCTTGCTCTGTCCGGAGAGGGCCCAGAAGCAGCAGCAGAACAAGAATAAGGACACCCAGATCTCGCTGTTTAAATACCGCTGTCCGGTAGAAGCAGCAAGAATTCTTGGGAGAAATGTCCTATTGTAGGTATGGACACACGCGGGTAGATCCAGAAATACGTGTGTGCGCCTGGCAGTCCGTGTGTAAATGTGCTTCTCCTACTCTGTCCGGAGAGGGCCCAGAAGCAGCAGCAGAACAAGAATAAGGACACCCAGATCTCGCTGTTTAAATACCGCTGTCCGGTAGAAGCAGCAAGAATTCTTGGGAGAAATGTCCTATTGTAGGAGCACAGGAAGAATGCAAGACAAGCCTAGAACATCTGTGTACTAGCAGTGGGGGGCCTGGGGCAGCTCAGAGGCCCTGTGTTCAGTCCCCAATGCTGAAAAAGGAAAAAGAGCTAAGAAAAGAGTTAATGAATAAAACAGCAGTAACAAAGAATAGCCAGGTCTGGTGGTGCTCGTCTGTAATCCCAGCACTCAGGAGGCTCAGGCAGGAGGATTCCAGTTGAGGCCAGTGTGGGCCACGTAGTGAGTTCAAGGCAAGCTTGAACTGCACAGCAAGATCTTGTCTCAAAAAACCAATAGCAGCAACAAACACAACTAAACCAAAGAGCAGGGCACAGCACAGGGGCACAGGAACCAAGCCAGACAAGTTCCCAGTGTTTGGGAGTGAAGGAGATTGAGCAAGTGAACAATAAAATCGTGTTAGATTGTCACACAGTGAACACCCGCAAGTTCCAGCCTCTGAGAAATAATGGGGGACGGCAGGACAGTGCAGAAGGACCTTGAGTGACGGGTGTGGAGTAGCACATGTGTCCCTCAGCAGCTACCCCGAGTGCGGCAGAGTCTCAGCCTGCAGCAGTGTAGGATGGAGAGGCGTGAGCCAGCGTGGTGAGGGCTGGCGGCCCCACTCCGAGGGTCACTGAGCAGAGGCCCTCCCCTCCCTCTATGATTGTCCCCAGGCCCACGCCAGCCTCAGTGTGTGCACAGGAAGTCACCAGCAGCCAAAACCGAGGCACCTCCTATAGTATACCTGGTGAGAGTGCTTCACAGTTGTCAGGGGTTAAACCAGGAAAGACAGAAAAGGTCAGAGGCCACAGGACAGCAGACAGCAGATGTGGGGAGCCCTGGGCTGAGCTCCAGGCAGTGAAACAACAGTGGAAAAACTGGTGGGCTGGATCCAAACTTGCAATCCTCCTGCCTCAGCCTCCCAGAGAGCTGGAATTACAGGCGTGTACGCCCCGCCCCGCTCAATTCTGATTTTTAAATATTTGTATCTCTTTTGTGTTCACTCACTTGTACCTGCCATAATGCTTTTGGTGCCCTTTGGGTCCATGGAAAATACTTACTGTGACTTTAAGCTTAAGCAACTCGGTTAGATGTGAACCTAGGGGATAACCCTCACTCCGTTTCCCATCTCTGCGGTGGACTTCGCAACTCCAGTTTCCCAGCGCGCCTCATTTTGTCTGTCGGGATCGGTGGACAAGGTGGTGGAGGCCCAGGAGCGTGAAGAGCTTGGCGCAGCATCTGACCCCGCGTTGGTGGAGCCGCTCACGGCTGTCCCGCCGTCTCCTCGCTGTCGCCTGTGCGGCTCCCACTGGCTTAGCTGCCGTGGGAAAGTGGATAAAACTGCTGCTCTAGCCCGTCTTCCCCAGCAGGTCCTGGGGAGGAGTGGACGGTCAGGACCGGGAAGGTGGGATCGGCTCCCGAACTGCACAGCTTGGCCGCAGCCCCACTTGGAGCCGTGGGCGAGGCTGGCCAGACGCGTGCCTCCCTCCCCCAAGTTTGCCCCTGCAGGCTCTCGGGAAGCATCACGCCTTCGCTTTAAGGCTCTGTTTCTGGTTGTGGGCGAGCATCTGCCACCAGGCAGCCATGTGGCGCAGGTAGGCTTGCTCCTCACTTTTCCTCGGGCTCCATGTGCCGTTATCAGCCTGCCGACTAGGCTGACTGCATTTTTAGTGCTCATGTGTTACCCAATTTTAATGCCTGTTCCTACCTAGGCTCTACGTGTCTTTCTGATGTCAGTAAGTGTGCTCCCAGGCAAACCGCGGGACCCACTCCCCGACCCCCGACTGCACAGCCAGGGGCCCAGAGCTGCCTCTTCGACCCGGCACTTCCCGGGATGAATGAGATACTGGATCGGGTCTGTACTGGGTGGAATTTCCTTCTAGAGCACTGCAGAGCCGTCATCCCGTCCACGCTGGGCTTTGTGGTTTTGCAGCTACTCTCTTAAAAAACCCCAGAGAATAAAGTAGAATGAGTAATTTTGGACCGAAAGACTCCCAGTGTTTCTCCAATGTCAGCAAAAGACTCCTTGAAATCAGTTTCCTCCTTTTCCGACAATATTAGAATGTTCACAATAATATGTTAAGCCTTTATTTTTCAAATTAACAAATTGATTTTCTTTTGAGTTTCTATGCAGATTTGGCACATTGCTTTAGAGACTGAAATGCTTAGCTGCAACATCCAGTTTTAGTTGGGAAAGTAACTCCGACTTAACTTTACTGCATTACAAAATGAAGTATGTGTAACAAAACACTACAAGGCCCCATCCGGCATCACTCTAAGAGGCAGGCAGCTAATCGTGATGTGTACACGAGGTGGGCGAGAAGATGCCAGAGCTCTGCTGAATGGATCATGACACATATGAGCAGGTATACGTTTTCAGGGGCGAAAGGGTCTTTTTTGGTTCTTACAGCACCTGGCTGAGTAGCTGCTACTTCAAATTTCAGTACTTTGGCATGTATTAGGTAAACGGTACCTAAATTAAAGGGAGTGCAAAATTAAAGAGAGACAGGAAGTGAAACATTTTAGGCTTGAATTTTGGTGACCATCAGGGAGCTCAGACTAAACCTCAGCTCTGTCCTAAGCGCCGATGGAGCAGCTGCAGAAGCAGGCGTGATCCTCCCTTCTCCCCTCACCCTCCCTGTGCGTGGTGACTGCAGTCTGTGCCTTGGGAGGTGAAGCCCACTTACCTGGCAAACTCAGTGACCCCAGCTGGTGGGGAAGCCTGGCCCCAGCTCCCAGGCCTCCCGTCTCCATGTGGAGAGCCCCAGGCTACTTTCTAGAGGACCGTGGCCGGGGGACAGTCTGAGTCCATCCATTGCCCCAACATGCGCAGAGAGGGCTGTGAGGGTCAGCGGAGCCAAACTGCAGCTGCCTGCAATAGGAAGGAGGCCCAGTGAGGCAGAAAGACCAGAGCCTCACTCGGCCTGGCGGCAGTGAGCAAGCAGCATGCTCAGGGGCAGCTCTTGGTGGAAGGCCGCGAGTTCTGGTGTGGTTAGCTAGGTGGCGATGAAGCTGACCCACAGAGCAGCCTTTCACGGAGAGAAGCCACCAGCACTGCACAAAGGAGCTGTGCTCTTTGTAACAGCACAGAGCAAACCCGGAAGATTCACAGTCCTCACCCAGCTGCTCCTCCTGAGGACCGTATGCGCCGCCGGGCCCGCCTGGTCCCCTGTCTCCTGCACGGCCTAGGCTTGCTGTGGGGCTGCTCGCACCCTGTCTGCTCTTTCATCTCTGTGTGCCCCAGAGAAGCCTGGACTCGTTAACCTCGAGAACGGCAGTCTCGCACTTATTCCGAAACATGCAAGTTAGACGTTCACGTGACAGAGCGGGGCTGTTTCTGAGTCAAAACCATAAGATGTCCAGAGCTGAGGTGTGCTGGGCACGCGTACCCACGCCCTGCCGTGAGTGTGCCAGTGCGAATGCATAGGCGTGGGTGAGCCTGCAGAGCTGAGCCTTCACAAGTATCTTCATCCACACCAAACCTCACATACTGCTCTCTGTAGGATCTTTATTTATTTATAGCTGGCAACACTTGAAAGTTACCTTGAATAGATATGGGATTAAAAAAGCACAGTGCTTCATTTAGACAAGGGAATATTACTCGCTGCTAAAAACGGAGTTACCAAATCCTGGAAAGTCAGTGAGGACCTTGGAATGCATGTTACTAAGTGAAGGCTGCATACTGAGGGTTCTGGTTCTGCACATTCTGGAAAAGGCGAAACTGCGGAGACAGAGAGCGGTAATTGCTGGGGGTGGGGTGGGATAGAGCAGGCAGTACCTGCAGGACTTTCAGGGCCAGGAAACTGCTGTGCATGGGACCGTCACAGTGGCTCTGTCTTTCCGGCAGGAGTGAGCGCTGCACCAAACCTCAGGTCTCAGGACGGGTGAGGGCCCTGTTAGCCCACAGCACGCAGGGTCGGGCACTGGGCCCTCTGCTTCTGCTCAGCTTCCCTGTGGAGCTGGGCCTGGTCCTCAGACAGGACACCGGGCGCGGCCGGCCTCCTGGGCTCACAAGGCAGAAACAGTGAGGTGACCCGGCTGGGCGAGGAAAGCACAGGTGGAGCTGGGAGTGGAGGGCCACCCCCCAGACCCACACCCAGAACCGCCCCGCCGGTCCTCCAGGAAGTGTCCCAGTCACGGCAGCCCAGCCCTGGACACAGGAGCCTGGAGGTCCGTGACTGCCTGACACAGAACAACCTGGAAGTTTATCTTCAAAGCAAAGTCTGTTTTAGGCAGAGTGTCTGAAGGCCGGGAGCAGCAGATTTCCCTCCCCAGCCTCGGGGCCCTTCCGGGTGTCCAAACCGGACCTGTGTCTTGCACACATACTTTGTGACAGCCTGGCAGAAGACAAGGTTCCTGCTGCAAAGTGGATGCTCCTGGAGTCCTGTAATTCACTGCAGTGCAAAATGCTGGGATTTGTCTAAGGGTGAGCGGTGTCTCCTTTGAATCAGAATACTTTTCCCGGAGGGGCCTGAAAACTGAGGGTACATCCTGATCAGCTTGCAGTGCCCCTTATTAGAGCTGCTGTTTGATTAGAGCTTGCTGCAGATAAGTGTAACACGAGGACCTCATTTCAATGAGCACAGACACCATGGTAAGAAACTGTAAAGGTTCAAAGAATTTCCTTACCCGAAGGGGCTGTGGAGGTCATGCTTACTGAAAACCTCCTCTCCTGCCCCTAGACTGGAACTCCCACAGCTGGAAAGCTTACCCGGGGTTCTGAGGGCTTGGGGTGGGGTCACACTGCTCACTGCAGACCGCATCAGGATAGAAGTCACAGGCACCTGTACAGCTTGGGGCAGAGATTGGCTCGGAAATCTCAGCACTGACCTTGACTTTGAGTTCTCCAAATAACTTTACTCATTGGAAAGGGTCGATCTGGCCTTGCGGAAGTTTGCCACCACTGAAAATGGAGCTCCGAAATTCTGTAGTGTGGGACACCACGCTCCTGTCCTGAGCTCTCGACCACGTTGTGCCACCCACATGTCCCAACCACCATTCCCACTCCCTATGACCCCCCGGGGACGGACAGCAATGCCCAGAAGCAGCTGTGTTGGTGTTGCTGGGCTGGAGCCAGCGTGGCACCACCCTGCCAAGCACAGGCCCTGGACCAGAAAGAAACCCAGGGATTGATTGTGAGATCTGGTGGTGCTTCCCAGGCTCTGGGAGAGGCTTTTGGTTCTTGTAAATAAGCAACAAAGATTGTTTCTCCACTCCTGTTGTCATTTAAAGCAAACCCAAAGCTGTACTCATACCTAGGAGGGTTTGCCATGACTGTCTCGGCAGGGACTGCTGGTGCTGCTTCTGGTTCTCTCTTCACCTCCTCTTCCCCATCCTGGGCTCTGTGCTGTATGCTGTAGACAGGAGGAGAGGGAGAAGCTCAGATGGCAAGTGCAGTGGCCCTGTGTCCGTCATGGGAGCTGTCCACCAGCAACTGCGGTACCGTTGTTTCCATTTTCCTGGCAGCTGGGCAAGATGACACCAGGGTCGGGGTGATGTGGAGGAGGGGACCGCAGTAGCAGGAAGGTGATCCCATCTGCGTGTCAGAGGAGGGAGAGACCTATGCTCTGTGGCGAGTTTGGTGGGGCCGAGGGAAGCTGGGCAGGGCCCTGGGTCTGCCCGAAGGGGTTTAGGGAAGAAAGCACGGGGCTACTCCTGTAGCCCGAATGCACTGGCTGGGTGGGGTTCATCTTCTCCTCTCAAGGGCCTGTCATCTGTTAGGTCTGCAGCAAGGCTCTGTCCACAGAGAAGGGAGCAAGATCATGCACCCCTGATTACTGCCTTTATCGAAGTCATTACTGATAATTTCTGAAAGCAGAGAAACATAGAGCATCCCTAGGGTTTGGCTCAATAAAAGAAAGATTGTTTTAGCATGGAACACAATGAAAACCCTTCTTGAGGTGTACAAGTATTTTTACTCGACCATATCAAGTTCTTAGGAAATGATTATACATTTTGGCCTTGGAAGAATTGAGAAAAATTTCAAAGAAATTAAATCAAGATTTTCTTCAGTAAGAAATACCAGACATTTACCTGCACTCGGTACACGAAGCCAATAGAATCGACACTAACGAACTCTGAACTCGAAACGCTCTAAGCAGCCTTGGATGCAGATCCGAGACTGATACTCACGGAACTGAGCTGGAAACTGTGGAGAAGGCTGGGGAATCCTCACAGTCCAGTCTCCAGCTGCACCAGAGGACACGGCCACTCTGCACAGAAGGTTCCTTGTGGCCTTGGTCTCAGTGATGGCAAAGAATTGGATTGGCTTCCGATCTTGAAATACATCAAATAATGACATCAGTCTTGAAAAAGAGTTTAGTGAATTCAGTGATTTGTTTTTCATGTTTTCCCTTAGGGAGTCACTTGGCAAATGTTTTGCCTTGGAGAGGATATGACAATGTCTCATGCCATTAAAAAGCAAAAGGAAAAGTTCCAGCTTTGATGGTTGGAGTGGATTTTGTAAAATGTGTACAGGAGCCAGTACACGCACACACACACACACTATTTAAAAATTGCCAATAAAATGATAGACCTGTAAGCAACACTGAATGTTTAATTCCCCATTATTTCAAAGCCGGTCTAAAGTCCAGAAGCCGAAGGAGTTTGGGGTTTTCTTTTTTTCTTGGTCACATTTCTTTCTGTAGACTGAATTGTCACTTAGTTTCTCTGGAAGCATCTTGGTGGCACTCGTATTTCCTTTTTCAGTGGAGAGAATCTGCCCGAGAAGTAAACAGGGCTGCTTTCTCTTGGGAGCTAGGGATCCTGCTCCTTGGCTCTTAATCACATCCAGTGATGATGGAGTGAGTACAAGTAGCGGCAGAGTTGTCCTCAGGAGAAATCCTTGGTTTGTTCTCCGCAGTTTGAGTCATTAGTGAAAATCGGCCGGAGCTGCAGGAAGAGTGGCCTCAGGCCGCCCTCCTCCTGTGGTGTCCCCAGACTGTGTTCACAGGCTGGCAGGGAACTCAGCCACAGTCCCGCCTGCGAAACGGAGGTGCGGCTGGGCCATGCGGGTGCTGTGGAGCAAGACCAGTCCTGGCTCTCTGGGAGTGGGGAGAGGAGGGCGCCCCACAGCTCTGAGCGAGTGTCTCGGAGAAGGTGGCCATCCTGCCGGTGTCTCGGTTGCCTGTGAACCCGAGCTTCCCAGGACCCTCATCTCTGTTGTGTCTGTGGCTTTATGTGTCTCCCAGAAATGATTCATCTGTTTGGGAATGCTGATTTTTCCTCTCGCCTTCTTATTGATCAGTAAGTCAGTCCTAGGTGCCCCCACCTGCCCGTGCCAGCTGCTGTGGAGATGACAGCACACACAGCCTTTGGAATCCATCTCTCCATGTTAGCTGACTGTGGAGGAGGTGTAGGGAGAACGTGTCCCAGATTTCAAGGGAAATCTGACCCGACAGGGAGAGCTGTGCCAAAGGGGCCTCACGCTGGGCCCTGCTGTGGTCCGGAGTGTGCTGGGGTCGTCCAGGAGTTCAGCAGCCTGGGGAGGCAGGAGAGTGAGGAGGGTGTGTGAGTGTGTGAGTGTGAGCGTGGGTGGTGCTGGGTCTTGCACCCAGGGCCTTCCTGTGCCAGGCCAGCCTCATCGCTGAGCTTCGGCCAGCACCTGGGTAACAGCGGGCCCTCAGGACTCTGGCCTGCCAGGCAACACCGCGTTATTTGATTTTCTCATCTTCAATTTTTCCGAAATACAAAGCATGACCTTCTTCACAGGATAGTGTGAAGCCCGAGTGTGGAAATGCTGTAAAGTTCCCCGTGCTTTCCCAGCGTGTTAGCACTGAACACCAAGAACACTGCTGCTGTTCGTTACGTGCACGGTTGCCGTTACTGCTTCTCACAGTTCGGGAGAGACCAGGTCTTCCTCGTGTGAACCTGGACCTGCACGACAGCGTTCATCCCTTCCACAGCTGGCTGTGCCACTAACTGCGTCTCCTAGGACATTTCCTTGGCCGTATCCAGCAGCACAAAAGCAACCAGATCCCGCAGGCCACGTGCTTCCGACCAAGGCTGGATCTGAGTGTCGCTAGGGCAGAACTGAGCCCGGCCCTCTCTAGCTGAGCTGTGAGGTTACCGAAGGTCGGACCGTGACAGTTTCAGCCTCTTTAAGATCATCACCATAGAAGCCGTGCCAGCCTGTGGCCTTGGAACCTAAGAGGAGCTAGGCTGGGAGCAATTCCTGCATAAATGTTATCAGTTTCCATGACTTAATCTGTTTGGGCACAGAAAGTTTCAGAACAGACATGGCTGTCCAAGGGGAAGTACGTGGGCTCAGGAGGTTTGGACCCCGTTCTTTGCCTGGACATAGCACCATGTTCACGACAGGCAGTCTGAGCCTGCAGTCCATTGGCCCCCTGAGCATGCTGGCCTTTAATTCTCAGTGCTTTCCCTCCTCTTGGAGGTTTTCTGTATTTTCTAACCTGTTATACTAAGCATCTATTGTTCCCATAGTCAGAAGTGACCTTATCTCCTGGTGGGATGGTGGTGTGTGTGTCCCCCACCCTGCAGTGCACATGGTGCACAGCCCACAGTGACCTGGGCTCTCCCTGAGCACCCTGGGAGCTTTCCCACCTGCCCTCAGCACTCTGCGTTGGCTCTGAGGGAATCAGAGAGGGATTTTGCAGATCAAAGAAGAAAAATTTGTTTTATCCAAATCTTACCTTTGCCTTTGTTTAGTTTTTAATATGTGCTTTATTTTCCTAGAAATCTTACTAATACGCTGCACTCGTCAGATAGAAGCCCTACCTTTAGGAAGGGCATTCTGTGTTCCTTGCTTGGGCTTTGCCCTCACCCTGCCTTGGAACACGTGGGCAGCGTGAGTGCTCAGTGTGGTCGTGTCCTGACCCCGGCTCTGATGCTGTACCCGTGTTCTCTCCGCCTTAGCTTCTATCCAGTTCTCACTGCGATTTTTAATGTATTTGCTAATATTGTTACCAAGGTATCCATGTCTGCTGAACTTATTAAGGCTCTACAGCCTAGAAAGTTAACATATCACAGACACCATCATCATTAAACGCCTGTTAAGTTGGAGCTCGAAACTCAGGAACACAGGAAACACCTTCACAGATTGGCTATGGATACTGACTGGGTTTCACTCCTTTTTCAGTGTGATATCTTACAGTTTCGCTGTTAGAGCTGCTCTGTGCTTTCTGTCCCCCTGGCCAGTAGTGTTTCGTTAGGTCAGGAGCCAAGGAACTGGTAAGTGTCTGTGCTTGGTGACTGACTTGCGATAGCTTGGACTTGGATTCTGGGGCTGATGGTTTGGAAATGCGCTGTCCACAGATCATCGCCATGAAGGGGCCGATGTACATGTGCCCGGGATGAGGTGTGGAGAGTTTCAGAGGAGGAACCTGGGGAGGGGAGGCCAGGTGCAGGACGCCTGCTGTGTGGCTCACGGGTTCTCGGCCAGAGCCGCCTCTCCGGACGACCGTGTTCTCCCACGGTAATGCTGACTGTTCACGGATGCAGTGAGTGTGGAGAGGCGGCGGGAACGCAGGGAGAAGTCTCTGCGGTCGGACTTCAGCAGCGGTGTCTGGGCAGGGCCGGTCTGGTGGCGCTGCCGCCCTCTCATGGCTCGGAGATAGCCCGGGCTCTCCGTGGCCAGCTGCGGAGGGGAAGCGGGATGGGCTGCTGGCCACTGTCGCCGAGTGCAGACGGCTCCCAGACAGTGACGGGCGCTGTGCCACTCGGTATCTGGGCTTCCCCGCACCCGGGTCCCTGCCCGTTTCCTGACCGACAGCACTGTGCCGCCTGGACTTGGTACCGACAGGCACAGCTTCTCCACACGCGCAGCTCCCCGACAGCCGCGTGCACCCACAGTCCCCTCTTCCAGAGAGCAGGCTGCGGTAGGCTGATTGCCTGGGCGTCGGTAATTGTGAGGGACCTGCGTGTGTGCGTGTGTGCGTGTGTGTGCGGTATATGCCTGGGCAGCATTTTGAGCCACAGAAACCAAGGACGACACGTGACTCCCATGGTTTCCCCTTTCCCTCGGTGAGGAATCGTCTGCCCTGCCCAGCAGCCTGCGTCCAGAGAGAAATAATCCGAGCGTGTCACCTTGGATAAACTCTTGCGGTAAGTGAAATCCTCTAAATGCGCTTTCAAGCAGGGTCTTACATAAAACAATTATTTCTTGCTTAGGAACAGGCTAGCATTGGTCCTTTGTAGAAAAGCTTAGAAAATGCATGTAAACAAAAAGGGAGGGCGCCAAGCTCCCTGTAACCCAGTCCCGGTAAGCCCTCGCCTCTGCCGTGTACTTCTCCAGGATTTTCTGTACATTTAGGTGGCTCATACCTCAGGACTTGTCCCCTGCTTTTTCTCTAACGTAGGAGTGAGCACCTTCCTCTCCCTGAGCATTCTCCAACAGTAGGACTTCAGCGGCCCCCTTCCTAGTAGCCAGTAAAGGAGGGTGTGCCCTCTGCTGGACTGCCCACTTTTGGATTTAGCTAGCTCTCTCTGCCGTGCTCAGGTCGCTTCTGTTTCTCACTGTTAGGAGATCGCGGTGATGAGCAGCCATCTGACGAGATCCTCCAACAGTCCGTTGTTTTCTCAGTGTAAACTCTCACCTGAGCAATGGTGGACCAAAGGCTTTTGTCACTTTAGAAGCATCTTGGGAACTTGGTCCACTCAGCCTCTTGCTCCGTCTTACCTCCACTGCCAATTGTATGAGATTTTAAATTTAAATTATAATTGAAGTGGGAATTTATGTTTTGTTCATATTATCTTCCTACTAGTGAAGATGAAAGTTTTCTTAATGCATGTTACTACTATGTGCTTTTTCTTCTTCTGAACCAACAAGATTTGAGTGACCTTTTCTATTTTGAATGATTTCATTCATCATTGACCAAAAAAAAATAATTGGAGGACTAATTTGGGATTAGCTCATGAAAACTGAGGACAGTGGCATTTCACTGAGATTTGCAGGTGGTGAGCAAATTTAACTCTGATGATTAGCTTGCAATATTATCTTACTTTGTTTCGATAACAGAGAGAGTAATACCACTCCTGGGTCAGAACGTGTTTTGTGAAAGCTTAGTTTGCCACTGTGATAAATCTGCACGCTGTTTTGTTGATCCATGATGAAGGAGTTCAAAAGAGGCTAAACAAGCACTGTGACTCAATCTTGTTGACTTAAAAGGAGGAAATGTGAGAAAAAGCCCGTGCTCTGCTGTGGAGCGGATGCAGGCTGCTCATTCATTCTTCTTCCACGCATCCATCCATCCGTGAGTCCATGCGTCCATCCCTCCACAAGTATGGGCTAGACCTGAGGTCGGGTTTCCTGAGAGGC